AGGAACGGTTCACCTCTGTGGCTAACCGCCGGAGGTCTTCTGCTCTGGAGTACAAGGTGGGTGACAGGGGTTGGCTCTCTTCGGCTGATCTGCCCCTGAAGAGGGGTGCCAGGAAGATGCAGCCCCGATTCATTGGACCATTCCCCATTACTATGGTCATCAACCATGTGTAGTTTCCCTGGCTGTCAGGTTGGAGCTCCCTCGGGCACTAAGAGTCTGTTTTCCACGTAAGCAAGCTGAAGCCTGAGAAACTCAGTCCCCTGCAGACACCCCCTGCAGTCCCTCCGACTCCCCGCATTGTGGATGGCGACCCTGTCTACAGCATCAACAAGCTCTTGGCCTCGAGGAGAGTGGGGAGGGGCATCCAATACCTCGTAGACTGGGTGGGTTATGGCCCGGCGGATAGGAAATGGGTCCCAGAACGCCACATCATCAGCAGTGATCTGATCGATCAGTTTCACCGGGACAACCCCACCCAGCGGAGACGTTCGTCTAGAAGCCGGACTTTGTGAGGGGGGTTATGTGTTTGGTTAACCCTCTTCTCTGTTATTTTGTTCAGGTCAGCTGCAGCTCCTCTCAGGAGCCCTCCCCTTCCCTGTGAACCTCCTGGAGTGCTGCAGCTGAACCACATCACCATGACTGCCCTCACCCTATTTCAGGCCGCTGCTGCCAGTCCTCAGCGGGGAGTTGTCTTACCTAGTTGTCTGTTTATGGAATGATTTTGGTTTCTGTTTTTGGTTCCCACAGTCAGTGGAGGAAGTTTTGTTATTAAAACACTTTTGAACTCAGGTTAATGACTGTTATTCCTGCGATTGGGTTACTGCCAAACCCCCCCACCCCCACCCCCCGTGACACAGAGCAGCAGCAACCATGTGTATTAAAGACTAAATAGTCGCTCTCTAAAGTTTGTCTTCAAAAAATTATTGTGATTTTTTTAATCTAAATATCTTGGCTGACAAAACAATGCAGATAGATTTTCCAACACTTTCAGTGACGTAATGCAGAAATCAAGCACTTTCTATACTTTGAAAACACAAACGACCAATGACCCACACACATTTTAATTATTGTGGTAAAGTGGGAAGCAGACCGAGACCTCAGAAGACCTCTCTGCTCTTCTCCTCTCAGAACTTCACGAGACGAGGTGAGGTGCACTTCAGTATTTGTGTGGGATCAGGACTGACCAGATCAACCTTGAATCCTTCAGCCAGAGACACCTTCAACAATTCCTCCACTTACATCTGCATGTCTGTGATTTCACAGCCCTGCATGATGTCCTCTGAGCATGTAGCTTCAGGATTAGTGGCCTTTAGCCCCCGGTAACAGCTTGTCAGACTGGTCCTGGGGCAGTTCTTCAGGCTTTGGCACCCACTCTAGTTTCAGTTGGTTCTACCTTGAGGTAGAGAGATGGGGGCTGGGGGAACCCTGGGATGTCCTGTAGGAGAAGTGCTCACAGAGCAAGGTTAGGAAGGCCCTCCAGGTACAGAACAGCTCTACTGAGAAAGCTCGAACCGAGCATGTGTGGAGCTCATAGTTTTCTAGGCCATGGCGTAAGTTAAAGTGAAGAATACGGACCTAGAAAGAGAGTTAAGGATGTGCTGACTAGAACGGCTGTTTTCAGGAAACAAACAGGTGCACAGCTCCGGTGTCAACCCTGAAGTCTGTGGACACACAGGTGCTTTCACATCTGTATCCAATACCAGAGATGGTGCTCGATATACTCTCATGCTTGTACCCAATCAGAGGAGCCCTTCTTTGTCCCAGATCAGGACCAGATAAACTTGCTAGGGCATTGCCGAGCCTAAGAAACCGCACCTTTCCCTTCTACTACCGCCACTAAGGTTGGACTGTTCCAACAAGGTTTAACTCAGATTCAATCATGGTTTAAGGGTTGTCGCCCTCTACTGCCCGTTCTCCCCTCTCTGATGATGCAGTCCCATGCACGGTCCAACGTGTAAACTCCATTGTCCCTGTTCATGGTCCCACATCCACGTCTCCTTATCTCGATAGCTTCTTTTATCCATCTTTTGTATTTTTGTTGTTGTTGTTCGGTGTTTATGATCTTTGTGTTGTCCCAGTCCATTACATTTTCTCTTGTGCAGTGATCTGTTACGGCTGACTTCTTTATTGTACTTTCTGCTTCTTGTTTTTCTGCTCTTGTGTGTTTTCAACTTGTTTCTTTCTCACACTCCTTTCTATGTTCTATTGTTCGTGTGTTGAGTTGGCGTCCGGTTTCTCCTATGTATGTTTTATGGCAGAGTTTGCATGGGATTTCGTAGATGACTCCACATTTACTGTATGTCCAGCTGATATTTTGTCTTTTGGGTGTACTAGTCTGTTTCTAACTGTTGTGTATGGTTTTGTTGGTGTTTATGTTGTGTTTTTTCATTGTTGCTCTTATTTTTTCTGTTATGCCTTTGATGTATGGTAGGGTTATCACTGGTCTTGGTTCTTGTCTTTCTGGGTTTGTGGTTCTTTGTTTTGGTTGTTCTTTTCTTTCCATTGTTGTTTGTTGTTTGTTGTTGTATGTGTTTGTCCTCTTGTTTACGGTCTCTTTCTTCTGTTATTATGTTTGCTCGGTGATATAATGTTCTGATTACTGACATTTTGTGTATGGTGGGGTGTGGGTTAGGGTTAGGGTTAGACTGGAACCCCCCCCACACACACACACACAAACATGCACATTAAACAAAAAGGAAATAGTGGTTGAACCAAGAACGGGGTAAACTTTTCTGATTGTAAACAACAACCTCTGCATTAAAATTGCACACACCTGCTGCTATATGTTTTGTATATTATTAGCGATATTTACCTGTTTAATATTATCTTATTGTTAGGGATGTTTTTTTGTTTTTGTTATTGTTGTGCATCTGCATTTTAAGCTAATGTCTATGCATGGGACAGTGTGAAACGTAATTTAAATTCCTTTGTATGGCAAGCACATTCGAAAAAATTGACAAATAAAGTATTCTATTCTATTCTACGTAGCGTTTCCATAGTTTTATTTTGCAGTTTGGGGGGGCAGTGGCTATGGATTCTTGTTCTAGGTCTTCCATGAAAAACTCGCTCAGGGTGGCTGATAACGGGTTACCCATGGCGATGCCTTCCAGTTGTTTGTATATTGTGTCATTGCAAGTGGAGTAAGTGGAGTTAGCTACCAGTCCTATCAGTTGTGCTATGTCGTCTGCTGTGAGGTGTGTTCTTTTGTGTTGTAACGTGAGGAAATATGGGTTTTCTGTGCCAAAGGTTGTACTTGGCCCGGCTGGGTCAGAGCTGGGTCGCTCAGAACTTTAACCCACAGATTAAGACCTTTGCCGACATGAAGTCTGCAAGATTCAACAGAAACCACAACATCCCACACCTGCAGTGCCAGAAGATGTTGTTCTCATGGAAGCTAGTCATAACATAACAAAGTCTTAAACTTCCTTTTCTTTATTTTAAATGTTAAATAACCATTTGATCACTTTGCTCATTATAAATGTGTTTTAATCAAATGAATGATTATTATGCTTTGGGTAATCATTATGAATCAATGCTTAATTAAATAATGTTTGAGGATGTTTGGTAACGACCTTCACGCACACTCAAACACTCACACACACACACAAACTCTCACAGTAAACTCCAAAACACATTTGCTCTGACGCACACGTTTGCTTTGAGAAGAGAAAGGCTTTTGGTAAGTTTTCTGTGCATGTTATTCAGTTCGTGTTTGACAACGAAAGAGAGAAGACGTGTGAATAAACGCTAACGGGGGAACGGAGCCCACCGGCTCCCCCCCCCCCCCCCCCGCGCTATTCCTGCCAAGCCAGACAGGATAGCCGAATTGCAACCAGCTAACGCAGACTCGTCCCGAGTCTTTTGATTTCTGTGTAATTTAAACTTAAGAAAGCGCATCTGCAAACGCTTTATCATCACGTGTACCGCGGGCAACTCTGGACCGGGTCGCCAGCACACCTCCGTCTCCTCTGCCAGCCGAGGTGTCATCTGTAGTACCACCCTCCTGGGTCCCAGATCTAAAAGAGGGTCCGAATACGGTGAGGCAGTCCACGAGAGATAGTGTTTGATGCATCTTTTCCAACGAAACCTACGTTTATTCAAACCATCACTTTTCACTCAGACACCTGTTTCTTCCTGAAGCAAAATCAGATGCACACACGCATTCATCTCACCTCATTTTCAATCTTCAGCACATCCAACACAAGGTCTATTTGAGCAAGTTTAAAATATCAACTGTTGAAGATTGTCCAACAAAGTTGCCAATGTTGATTGTTATTTCCTATGCTTGTCATTTCAAAATCATTAGTTTAATTTGAAGAATTAAATCTTTTCACTTTCAAACTTGTCTCTTCATTGAACTGAAACACAGACCCACGGATATTATCGACAGTTTATCGATGAAAACAACCTTTGAGTCTTCTTAATTCTATAAAATTTGGTTATTAATTTATTACAAATTAATATCACAAATTAAAATGTAGGATGGTTCCTCTTTCATAAAAGAGCATAAACCATTACACTACAGTGTAAAGTCTTGTCCTGTCTGATTCTGTTATATAAAGGGTTAATTTTGACAGGAAATTTTAATTTAATTTTAGTCTTAGTCTTTGGCTAAAAATTAATTTTAGACTTAGTCCAATTTTAGTCATTCGATTTATTTTAGTTTTAGTCCCATTTTAGTCGATGAAAATAACAAGTAATTTTAGTCGATAAAAATGCATATATTTTTTCTAATGAAGTAATTTCCTACTTTTGTATAGAGCACAGAAAAAATAGTGTAATTTAATACACAGGGTCCAAACTCTTAACCACCACTGATCGGATATAGCACACACAGCTAACAACATAGAATATTTGAATAAAAAAAACACTTCACATGCTTAACACTTACGCAGGCCCGGAGTGGCTAATCGGGAGGATCTGGAGAATTCCCGGTGGGCCACGCGATGTTTGGGCCGCATGGGCCGGTGCGCTCGTTTTTGTTTTTATCATTTTATTTTTATTTCTTGGTGCCGGTGTTCAGTCATGGCACTGAGGCCGCCGGGCTGATCTCATACGCTCCTCCCGGCTGTCTCTACCTGCAGGCTGCAGCTCGGTTTTTTTTCTTTTCCCCCTATATGCGCCTGTGCGCACCACGTGACCACTCAGTTGACGGAAAGATGGAAAGTAGAAAGAGCAAGGGTGGCGCGGAGAAGGCAAGAATTAAAAAGAGGAAAGCGCTGGAAACAGATGCAGCTAAATGTGCAAAAATGAGCACCTTTTTTTCTCAAACAAGCTCGCGGTCTTTAACTTCAAATGAAGATAAAACGGGTAAGGCAAGTCAAGATGTTAAACTTTACCGGCTGCAAATCACCATTCAAGTTAATTAAGCATCAATAATGAATTATATGGCGTCATGACATAACGTTATGTAATATAATTAACAGTATGATGTGACTGATGCCACCAAACTGTCTTGTAGCCCACAAGATCCAGTAGGCCTAATAAGCACCAGGCAGAAACCCACCATTCCAGAGCGGACATGTACAGGTAGGATTACTTATTGAGTCAGTGAACTGAATATTATTAAAATTTATATGATGAAAACTATCCTGGCTCTATATGAAAGTGTCCTAAAATGCTAGATGATTCAGCATTGATCAGAAAGTGTGTAAAAAAGGAAAATGAATGCTGAATTGTGACCATTTTCACACAATGTAGTGTCAGAAGAAGAGCCAGGAGCCAGCAGTGAGGGTATTGCTCCTGCTGGGATAGAAGGTGAGCCAACTCATGTGCAAACAAGCAAACATCAGTTTCATTATAATAATTTTAATGTCCAAATAATAGTAGGGACCTGATGTATTTTTATTAGTAAATGCACAAAGCCCACAACAGATCGCTATTAGAATGAAAGTAAAATTAAATAAGCCTGCATATTTTGCCATAGAAAATATTTTAATTGGTTACAAAAAATGTGATTTCCATATCAAATGTGCTAAAGCTTTACAGATGATTATTTTAATTGTGTGCAGGCGAGTCCAGGGAAACTGGAAAAAGTGTGAAAGGGAGTGCTGAGTCATTTCATTTTAAAGGTTTGAAAATCTCAGAACAGCAGTTTGAACAGAATGTAGATTGTTATATTGTTAGAGAATGTGTTGTAAAGAACAATGTTGGAGATGTGCACTGATGTTCAAATAAACCTACATTGTAAAGCAACTCTTTCTTGCACTGAATTACAAGGCTTTACCGAGTAGTGTGCTTTTGTAGACTATACATATAAAGTTCTAACATGATTTTAATAATAATTCGTTAAGTGGGCCGGTCTGGGGTCTGAAACTCCAAGGCTGAAAATGTGTCCCACTCCGGCCCTGCACTTATGTGTTTAATAAAAAACAAAAAGCACACTGGAAATGACAAAGGTGCTCTTTTTAACAATTGCACAACAAGAATTGACAAGAACAGCAAATTTAAACATGTTAACCCTGAGTCTGTAGATATTCACTTGTTACAACACAGGCTCAACCAAACAGTGTGAATATTTATTTGCTGCGATTCATTTTGAGAAAAGCACTTCGTGCTAGTGTGACCTTTGCTCGGTTGCGTTCCCCTCTAGTGAGGTCACCTGTGATACTGATCACTCTTTCTGCAAAAGATTGAGAAGCTGGCATTGCCAATATGTCTAATGCTAATGGTTTCAGGCTGTGATCAAATGTGTCACATTTTCCAAGCCAAAACTCCATTCCCGTTTCACAAGTGATGGACTGTGAGAGCTCTTCCTTATACTGGCTTATCTGCTGTCTTACACTACACTTGGAAGACTTTGGTTTAGGCTTTGCTCCGAATTTGGAGAGAAACCTAAAGACTGGTTGTCTGGAGGAGGAGGAGGCAGATGATGAAGAGGAGGCGGCGGCGGGTGGTGCCGGTTCAGGTCCATTCAGTTCCTCCAGATCAGAGTGGTTCTCCTGTGTCTGAGAGCACCGAACAACATACCCTTCTGCCTGCTTGAGCAGCTCCTGAATGTTATCATCAGCCACATTGAGGAGGGTCTGACACACAGTAGGATTGAGAAAACAAGCAGCTGCTACAAGTGGGGAAAGCTTGTCATCTGAGGGATCTTTAACACATACAAACGGCGCACCGGGTTATAAAACGTACCGGTAAAACATCTGCGCGGGCTCGGGATTCGGATCATATCAGTGCAAACCAGACATTGTGAAAATTATAAACAGCCAACAGCATGCTTCACTTTACTGGTCTAGTCCTGGTTTAGAGCGCACGTGCAGCGAGCGGCTGCGACCCAAAAAGTGCCAGAACCGCTCACGGCGCATGCGCAATCATGCATCAACACTGCTCGCCCGCTATTTCCCTAATAACACACGTTATAGTCATGAAAATACGCTACTTCCAAATTTTTATCCCAACATGACAGAGTTGATACAGTTTTATTTGCCTGTATATTACTTTTCGGGTCGTCACGTGTACAACATTTAAGTGGATTTACCTCGGAGAAAATGGCGAAGTGGCCATTCTGTAGATGCTTCTTCAGATTCGTTGTGTTCTTTCCTCGAAACGACAGTCCACACTCTCGGCATGTAGTTTTGGTAGCAATGTTATCATAAGAAAAATGACTCCACACATCTTCTCTTCTTTTTCGCCCAGCAGTTAACATTTTCCTCTACTCCTTCTTCTTATTCCGTCGATATATTCAGTGAGCTATGTTTAGCATACCGCCGCGCATACCTGCCCCTTTATATTATTCGGGGTCTGTCTTCTCTCACGTCCCGCCACGCCCCTTGTCTTCTACTACGTTCGCGTCTCACAACAACACAATAGTCGCACAGCACCATAGAGCGCCATGTAGAAGAGTGTCATCGTGGATTTTCGTCTTGTCTTTCATTCGTTGACTAAAAGTTTCAATCAATTTAATTATCGTCTTTGTCTTTTTCCAAGCTTTTATTTTGAAATTTTGTTTCATTTTCATCTGTACATATATTTTCGTGATAAAAAAAAGACAAAGATATTTTGTCAACAGAATTAACACTGGTTAACTACTATGTCTATGGTTTTTTGGGTTGGTGTTTTTGTGAACAGGGATGTGACGTCATGTGAGATGAGTATGTCGTTGTCTTCTATTGTAATCTCCTTTAGTTCTTTTGCCAATTCTATACTATTTTTGCAGTGTTGGTCTGTATTTCCTAATAACGGGCTGATGATTCTGCTGATATCTTTTGCCATGTTGTATGTTGGTGTACCTATGCTGTCAACTATTGGTCTAAGGGGTGTTTTGTTTGTGTATTTTTGGCGTTCCATATATTCTTGGTGTTATGTTTGCTGTGGGAATCCAGTGTTTGTACATTTTTTCTGTTATTTTGCCTTTTTCGTGCAGTGGCTTCAGTAATTTTTTCATGTTTTTCTTAATGTTTTCTGTTGGATCTTTTTTAAGTATTTCATATGTATTTTTGTCCTCTAGCATCTGTTTCATCTGTTGTTTATATTTTTCTCTGTCCATAACTACTGTGGTTCTTCCTTTATCTGCCGGTAGAATAATTATCCGTTCATTTTTGGATAAAGCTGTCATGGCTGATTGTTCTTCTTTTGTAATAATGCTGTGTTGAATTTGGCTGTTTTTTAATATCCCAACTACGTTATTTCTGAGTTCTGCTTTCTTTCCCTCATCTGTGATCTGTTGACATGCTAGTTCTGTTGCTACAATAAATTCATCATATGGTATTTCTTTTGGTGTGACTGCAAAGTTTAAACCTTTCTTTAATATGCTCTCTTCTGCTTCTGTTAGTTTGTATTGTGAAATGTTACATACCCATGAGTTTGGTGTGGAGTTGCCTTGTATTTCTCCCCTCTTTTTCTTGTTCATGAGTCTGTTTACCTTCTTTATGTGTCTTTCTTTTACTTTTATGAACTCTTTTTCCTGTTTTTCCATCATGTGTCCTTTAGTTAGTTCCTCCATTTGTTTATCAAGTTTGTAATTCCTTTTCAAGTCCAGGTGTCCTCTTTCCAGTTCGTCCTCCACACGCCTCTGTTTGGTTATGACGTTCCTTATCCTCTCCTTGAGCAGTGCTCTCTGTGCTCTTTCTATTATATTTTGTGCTGTCTGGGTCCGGATCGATGTTTTCAGCTGTAGGCTTGTGGGTGTGATGTTTTCGTCCCGGCATCTTAAACAGAAGTGAAGGTGGTTTCTTAGACGTGCGCGTTTCTGGTGTAATCGCTCCAAACGGCGGAAGTCCTTCGTTCCTTGGTGTCCGTATTCTTCTTTGAACATCTTAAGTGTGTTCTTGCGGTGTCGTATCTCTAATTCCAGGCTGTAGTTCTTTTTTAAAACACAGAACAGTTTCGTTTACCTGTTTTCCCGCTACGTTTCGTTTGCGGCTGCAAACTTCCTCAGGCTGACGCTGACGGTGGCGTCACTTCCTTCTCCGTGTATCCGCGGGCAGCAGAGGACGTTGTCGCCCTCTGCTGCCCGCTCTCCCCTCTCCGATAGACTGAAACTGCTTAGGAATTAGATCCAAAGCTGCACTATACTGTACTGGAAAGGTGAAATCTAAGCCCCGCCCCTATTTTAAGTAGGTTTTCCACATTTGACATAGAGGGTTAGGGTTAGCTTCCTCTACTCCTCTCCCCATCAATCTTATCTGTGCAGAATGTGTCCCTTGTCCTTCAGGTGTAGGTGGACTGCAGAGTCCTGACTTGAAGAGTGAACTCTTTAACTTTAACAATCCTTATCAGGGTCCAGACTCAGTCTGAAACTTTCTGGGGCTCTGGATCTGGATCAGCACCACAGCTGGTGTAAATGCTCTGCATGGACTCAGTGATTTCTGATCCATGTGAAACTGGACCGTATCCATTCTACTTTCAATGTGATCGAGGCTTCAGGCGCTCTGTCAGTAGCAGCTGCAGCCCTGCTCTGGTTTTCCTTTGTGTAAAGACTCTGAGACCAGTCGGTGCAATCTGCTGGGTTCCTTATGCAGGAACTTTTTACTGGATGGATTATTGAACGGAACTGGAATGTGTACTTTGTGAAGTGTCGAGACGACTGGTCGTGATTTGGTGCTACATAAATAAACTGAATGGACGACAGGACAAGGGGGCGCTTGATAAAAGCTGCTTCATCATTTATCTGGGTAAGAATGGGCCATATGGCCTCAAACCTATCTCACAATATTTTATATTTTTCTATTTATTTATAACAAAATGCAACATTTTTTTGCTAAGCACGCCCCCTGCCCCGCAGAGCTACGTGCAATAGGAAACTGAGCGCCGACCAGAACTAACCAATAGCGTTAGACTACCGCTTACATGCTTCAAATGTAAGGAAAACCTCGGCTGATGCAGAGTTGATGAACTTTTCACGGTCAAGCAAGTCTCTAAAATATAAATATATGAGAACACAACATGACATGAGAATAATACTCGTAAAACAACGTGTTTTAGCTGTTTGTCGGCTACAGAAGCACATTTATAAACAGAAACGTGAAGTCAGCATCTTAAAAGAACAGAGCGACAGACTTTTTGTGTGATATGCTTTTTAGCCACTAGATGGTGCCATCGGATATGAGAAATACTCCAGAAAGAGACTTCAATTTTGACATCCACTTCCCTTGATTTAAATCATTTCAAGTAGTTTAACTCATTTACTGCCACTGACAACTTGTGTTGTAGCGGGGCCGAGGCCATGTATTTCACCGTATGTACCAAGGGTTAACTTTCTGCCAAGACACAGGATGTGTTGCCCCGACACCAGGAGGTGGCGATGATAAATGTCTCTTAACTTGTCCAGTGTCTTTATCACAAGACACCTCTACAAGAGACAAGAGTCTACTCCCTTTTCATAAAGATATCTTGTAATTCAGAGCAGCTGACCTGCTTCTCTATCAGAAACCTTCTCACAGCTACCGTAGATTCAAAGCTGACAGAGACCATGGCTCCTAGCAGCCCTCCTCTGAGGCTCAGGGGCACGGAAGCCTCGCGGAGGTCAATCTCCTCCAGCAGAGGGCGTATCTGGAAGAAATCAGCTTCTCTCCGCAGCAATGAAAGTTCTGAAGAGTCGTGCGGCAGATCCAAAGAGCCGGACCGTAAGTAATTCAGGATGTACCTGAAAACCCTCCCACCTCAATCTATGAAGACGTTCCCCCCGGCTGTCCCTGTGCACCGGGATCTCTCCAGTGAACATGGCACCCAGCATGGAGTCTCGGCAACGGCTCAGAGTGTCTAGAGTTGTGGTGTAAACCTCTCCACCAACGTTCAGTGGCACTGGGTCCCGGACTGAGGGCCTGCTGCTGTGCCTCGTGGGACCATGAGCTGATCCTGAAGCTTGGATCAGGAATGTTGAAAACTTTAACTTGTACAATTTTCCAGAGCCTCTCTTATTTCAGAAGCAGTTTGCTTTTGGACCAGGAGGAATTCACAACAGCTGCTAAGATACGGCCGGATCCATCCTTACAAAGGACCGTAACAAATGCTTGGGGCCTGGTTTCCAACTCTGCAGGTAAGTCTCCTGGAGGAGTTGAGGTGAAGCGGCGCACAACGCGCCCGTGACTCGTTGGAGTTAAAGCTAAAGGCAGACTGGCATGCTAACGACTGGACAGTGCTGCCTCTGTTACAGCCAGGCTGGCTTCTATTTGAGGCTCAAACAAACTGATCTCTCACTTTCACCCACTGGAGCTGTCTGGGCCGGACACAGAGGCCCTCCGTCACAGTGACGGCCAGAACACCCGAAGCTGCATTCATCCCCTGTGAACAGACACTTTCCTTACAATTCCCTACAGAATGCTGTTCTGCCTCAAACAACAACAACAATATAAAACAACAACAACAATATAAAATGTGGGTGGGGGACATCCCTGAAGGAGAAATCCTGATGAAACGTGCTGTCCTGAGAGTGGGACAGACTGATGTGAGGACAACACGTGTCCTCTTCATTATTGGTATCCATCCCTCCCTCCCTCCACCCATCCATTTTCTATACCTGCCTTTCCATTCATGGTTGGTGCTCATCTCCAGCTGTCTCTGGGCAGGCAGGCGGGTACATACTGGACATGTGGCCAGCGCGCCAGAAAGATCAGGTATATAGTACATAACTATAGGCAGGGCTTCATTTCAGCCGGATCTTGTCGGAACAAGATCCAGGAACTGTCTTATTTTGAAAGGACCATGCCGGCAACTCACGCGACCAACTTGTGCTTGCAGGGGAACAGCACAGATGCAGACACTACCGTTGTTAGAGGAGATGTGTGTAACTTTGAAAATGTGGGCACATTTTTTAATCATGTGTCAAAAACTCTGGCAACCCTGTGTGTGTCCTGGCATCTGCTTTGCCTCTAATGAACTTTGCTTTGACATCAGTGTTTGTGTTTCGGGATCGTCTGGTTTCCAAGTCAAGCACTGACTACAGGAGTGTAGATACGAGGAAACAGGACATCTGGTTTGAGGTGCACTACAATGGAGTCTGGGGGTGTTCTACAGGATGATGGGTCTCTTCCCTTTTACGGGTGGAGGTGTTTTTGTTGTTACCTGTATGTGGAGGATGGCTTTGTCTACAGCTTTAGCTTGCAGCAAAGTCACTGTGCACCCCCCAAACCCTCCTCCTGTCATCCTGCTGCCATACACCCCATCCACCTCCAAGGCCAAGGAGACTAGCTCATCCAGCTCGCTGCAGCTGACCTCATACAGGTCTCTGAAACCAGGAGACAAGGTCAGCAAGACACGGGTACCGGCACATTAAAGGACACCTGGATCTGTACCTCAGAGAGTAGTGGCTGTCCACCATCAGCTTCCCAAACCTGCTGTAGGCCCCATCCTTCAGGGCTTCAGCAGCTTGGACAGTTCTCTTGATCTCTTCAATCACATGGCGAGCTCTTCTATATGTGATGTCATCCATCCTGACTTTAGCTTCTAAAAGATTAGACCCAGGACAGAAAAGGGTTTGTAAGGATTTACTGATAAAATACATATTCAGAAAATTTGATTTGATTAAAGCAAATCGTACAGGGAGCTGAGAAATAATTCATGTGAAATCCACTTATTGGATCCTTTTATCATGTGATATTGGTATTTCCTCATGAGACCCCCCCCCCCCCCCCCCCCAGGACCTTCTCACATATCACGGGACTCTTGTCCAAACCTCGGACAGTATGAATCTTTACTCGGTGACTGCTACACAACGGTGAAGCTGCATTAGTCAACTCATCCATCATCTGTATTGTTCTATGCTTTGTGAGGCTACTGGAGGATGAGACATTCAGCTTCTTCCTGAACGTCTTCCATCACATCGTGCCTCATGTTCTTCACAGAGTGCTCCAGAAGCACTCGATTGACCTGGTCTTTGTCAACAACGTTCTGCAGGAGGTCACAGACAACACCCTACCAGATATTAACTTGTGTCATCTTGGTGGTTTTCAGAGAGTACCTCCCTGGTCTCTATGGACAGCAGCAGCAAGCCAAGAGATGCCACATGACAAGCCCAGAAGAACTTCACAGTTTGGCTTCAGAGGTGAGAGAGAAGCTCTTAAAGACATGATCAATGTTTCAATGCATAACAGCACTTTTTAATGTTTGTGACACCATCTTGATCCATGCCAAGCAGAGGTTTGCCTTCACTGAGCACCTGATCAGTGCTACGCCTCTGCAAGGAGACACGTTTGGGGAGTACAACAGGCAGTTCCCTGGTCAGCAGTGTAGCGTGATGAATTGTCCATTTCTGACCTAAAGGCTCTGCTCTATTCGCTCTGCCCAAGCAAAACATAAGTTTCTGACACAAGCCTAATCTACAAGATATGGGCCAAGGCCACTCATGCTCTGTGCTCTTATCTAAAGAAGAAAGAAGAAGAAGAAGTCTTTCTCTTTAAAAGATAATCAAATAACTTTGTTAGTACAAATAATCAGGTGAAGCTCAATGTTCAATCAATCTGTGAAATGAGAATATTGATTACTTGATATTTTAATCCTATGATAGTTTAATTTCAGAGCGCTGCATGGTCTGGCTCCATTGTATGTTCGAGACGTGCTCTGCCCTTACACGCCTTCTCGCAGGCTGAGATCTATGGATCAAAACCTTTTAATGGTCCCACGTACTCAGTTCAGGACACAAGGAGATCGCTCATTCCAGGCCGTCGCTCCTAGGCTCTGGAATGAGCTACCTCTGTCTTTACGCTCAATCGACTCAGTTGATGTTTTTAAGAGCAATCTTAAAACCCATTTGTTTCTCCAGGCATTTTAAACTTATTCTCATTCAGATTGGTTTTATTTGACACTGTATATTGTGGCTGTATTTTACTGTATTTATATGTTGTTGCCTTTTAACTTGTGAAGCACTTTGTGACCTTTTTGTCTGTGAGAGGTGCTATAGAAATAAAGTTACTTACTTACTTACTTACTTACTAAGTAATATAACTTTGAACTAGACACTAGACTGATCACACGTAATGCTAAAATCACATGACACATTTCCTTTTTCTGATCCAATCAGAACCTTCCAGATCTGACGCGAGGCGTGGTTTTGTTGGTGCTTGGTAAATCCCCTTTTGTTGTCAAAGTCTGATTCAACAGTAAATCAAAACATCCACTTTATAAAATTATGACCCACGTCATCTTAACTTGAGTTCCAAGCGTTATAGAGAAGTTATTGGAGTGGCCAATCCGTAACTTTCCTCTTAAAGCCGAAAGAACCTAACGACAAGCTGGATTAAATCTGTTGCATGCTCCACCTGCTACAACGGTTCCTTCAGAATAAAAGCCGAACCATCACAACCCCTTCAGGGTCTCGCTAATGCCAATAAATTGTCGTGACCTGGGAGTAACTCAAAACTGGAAGGGTCGGCAACCACTGCATATCTACAGGCGTCGGTTCCAAGAGGGTCCAAGCTGGACCCCCGACATTCCGGATCTAAACGGGGACTTCCGTTGGGGTACGTAGGCCGACTGATGGCGTCTCAATGTGTGTTATAATCTCCAAACCAAAGCTTAGAGCAAAACACCCTTTCACTCCCACTCAGAACTAATAGTCTCTCCGGATTTGCTGGTTCTGAACATATTTCACACACACACCATCCTCAGTCTTACTCCACCTTAGTTACATCATACACATAGTGTTTTAAGTTAGTCTTGTTCAAATTGTTTAGAAATAAATCTTTTAACTTTTTAAACCTGACTCTCTCTCTTTCTTGGAGTTGATACGAAGCGTTGCTCAATCCCTGCAATAAAAAGATCCGATCTTCTGGTTAAATTTACTCAAAGATCCATTAAGGTGATGTTTCATATTTTATGACATTTCACATTCTCTGGTTTCTAATTAAATGTAAGAACATCTTCTCTACAGCAGTTACCGCCACAGATGCGCACGCTGTGCTCAACAAGCTGACAACTAAACAACAGTCGTTTGCACTGGTGCTGTGGCCCGGGGTCATAGTCCAGAACACCTCCAGGATGTGTTTCAGTGACTTTAGTGTTGTTGAAGATCACCACACCCATGACAACTGCTGAAGCTGAGAGGAGCTTTTCAACTCTGACAAGAATCTAAACCTTCCTCAGGAATGCTGTGTCGCAAGATCGCCTGCATGCATTGGCCGTGCTATCCATGGAGAAGATGCTTTAAGGGACACGCCTCACTTGAGTGAGTGAAAATTTGCATCTCTGAAGGAGAGACGAGCAACTGATACTTCCAGAAATAAATGACTGATAACACACATTGCTTGGGTTGTCATTTATTCTAGGCCTTTTTGAGAAATCTGCTTGAATTGTACATTAAATGAAGTGTTCTTTAATCCAGACGTAATGGCACTTCTTCACTAGCATCCAATTCATCCAAACATTGTACAGGTAAGATTAAATGAAATGAGCATGAAACAACAAGCTAAAGTATAAGAGGCTAAATAATAATGAAAAAAAAAGACCAGACAAGAATAACATTAGTGTCATGGCGTCAGGTGGGTGCCAAAACCCGTTCGCACGCGGAATACGCATCTCGCGTGCGAACGGGACGGCGAGGTCATTTGTACACTGAGAGGGAGCAAACTGTGTCTGTGAGCGCACAAGGATGTGCACAAGTGACAAGCTTGCGTGCGCGCGCTGGCCAACGAGCGCGCAGCAGCCTTTCTGCGCGCTTGGTTTCTGATTCTGCTCGCTCGGATGTAGGGAGTTTTGGCACTCTGGAGGCATAGCCTGTGGCTGATCTTTTCTGTCCCCTGATTGGTAAGTTTTTTCCCGCTCCTTACCCTCTACCTCATTGGCCCATTGGTTTCCTCTCGGAGCACTATGGGGGTAGCTGAAAGACAAATCTGATTCACACTTTAGTAAGTACTGTTATAGCTCAGCTGATAGAATCAATGACTTTCACTCGGAGGATTCAGGTTTGAATTCAGGCATGTTTTCCTCTGCCGTGTGCTCGTTGGCCAACGCGCGCACGCCAAGTTTGCCACTTGTGCACATCCTTGTGCGCTCACAGACACAGTTTGCTCCCTCTCAGTGTACAAATGACCTCTCGCCATGTATATTTTCACTCGAGAGGTTCTAACTTCCACGTGCGAGTCCCGTTCGCACGCGCGATGTGGACCATGGGTTTTGGCACCCATCTGATGTCATATAGAGTGAAATAAAGTATAAATCATAGTAGCTCCCTGATCTAAAAATGAAAAAGACTGGTATACTAGGGTTTCCACATCTTTGACTGGTAATTATACTGAGACTGCTACCGGTTAGATTTAAAACAATCACATTGAATCTTCCATTAAATAGATTTTGCTATCTAGTCTTTTAGCCATCTTTATGAAGACATCAGTGGCTAATAACCTCACCTGAAGCAAAGCTTAAAAAGCAACTGCAAGCACTTTCAAACAGACTTGAATCTGCACCGAAGGGCCTTGAGTGTCTGTTAGTGCCTGTTTTTGTCTTCTTAAACTTTTGCTTTGCACCATCTTCCATTGGGAAAGAGAAGGAAACTCATCTGTGGGTAATCCTGTTGTCTAGTAGCTCCGGTTTGGGCCAACTGAAAACAATAAGTGCAATCAGGGGCTGTGAACGAGCTGTTTCTGCCCTCCCTGAAAACACTCATCAGGTGATCAAGGTCTCCACCATTGCAATCAGCTGCTGCATGAACACCTGTTTCCAACTAGTAGCACGGCATAAGTTTGGTGGCATAACTGACGCGTTAGCGGAAGCATCAGCCCTTGTGTCTCAGCCCCTCTGGTGTGAAGACACTCCGGGGTAAAGACATGCGTGTCTACCTGCGCATGTCCACAGAGCAAACAAACTCGACCCAGACGCTGCTCCATCAACACCTTGCAAAATGTGCCATTGTCCTATACCTGTGATCACTGGCTTCAGAGGAAGGTCACACACAGCAAACCGCTTTTGCAACCTTCAAAACCTCCGATCGCTAAAACCAGCTCCCCACGAAGACACCCACCTGTCTATGGGACTGTGGAACTGCCAATCAGCTGTAAACAAAGCTGACTTCATTACCGCATTTGCAAACCACCTGTGACTCGATGCACTGGCTCTCACTGAGACCTGGATCAAACCATGTGACAATGCTACCCCATCTGCTCTGTCAGTTAACCACACTTTCACCCACACTTCTCCTGCATCTGGTCGAGGTGGTGGAACGGGCATGTTCATTTCCAACAAATGGATATACAGTCAGTTGCTACCCATCACTATATACAACTCCTTTGAATACCATGCCATCCAGGTGACTGTAAAGAAAAAGTTCTTTTTGGTTGTCATATATCGCTAACCAGGTCAACTCGGAGACTTTCTTGACTTTCTCCAATGGTCCTTGGAGACATGAATATTCACCTGGACAATCCCAGCTCATCAGGCTTCCTGTCACTAATGTCATCAATTGATTTAAAACTATTACAAAGTCCTCCAACTCACAAAGCTGGAAAAGCGCTTGA